GCACCACCTTGAAACTACACGAAAGAGGTGTGTCCATTATATAAGTGGAAAGAAGGTTAACATCCAACGTTGAACCAATTTACAAAATTCGCGAAGTCGTTGAAGTGGCAGTATCTCGGCAATGAATTCGAAGGACAGTATAAGTATTAAAATAAAATACTGACCCCAACCAATCGGTAATGATTAATGGCTCTTCATGCAATGAAGAACCGTTGCCGTAGTCATAATGAACGATTCGTGCATTGTAAGTTAGGTCATGCTTGATTGCGTCAGGAGAGCACATCTTTGGCTTCCAACGTACATTACCTCGCAGTCCAAAAACATGTGCCAAAACGGATTAGCATGATTTCGAGCCTTTAATGAATAACTGCTTGTACAGGTGCGATACAGTAGAAAAACGTCTAAATGGACAAATTTCGTTTGACAGATCATTTTTAAATCATTCACCGCATTTTTCGCTGTCTGTCAACATTCTGACGTCTTTTAGTTTACATCTCGTTTGTGAGGTGGTGCGAAGAGCATCTTTAAACCAAATTTCCAAAATATCTGCCACTGAAGCCATTTTGAAACTGTTAGTTTCTCTAGATTTCCTCATATCATCCATGAAAGATCTTTACTTTTCTGCAATTCTAGTGGAAAAAACGATATTCAGTGTGGTGAAATCAGGGGAAAAAATTTTCTCGGTGTTTTCTTGAAAGACTTGTATGAATAGTAGTCCGTGATGTTTCCTTCAAGTGCGCTTTCATCGTATAAGGAGCTCTGAGTATATCGCTTACCTGGGTAGCCAACAACTCTGAATTCGCGACAGGTACTTTTAACTTCACAGCTACTCTCGCGACTACTAGAGTAGTACTACTCACTCGTTTATCCTGCAGTGAGCTTTGTCATCGGTGATGATGCCGAGAATGGACTTTTAATTGCTCTCTATACTGTATGGGGGACACTGGCTTGGGCTTTTGTCAGTTCAGTTCTTACGTATTTGAATAATTCTTCCGTAGGCAATGAAGTTCCAAGAAGGTTTGTTAACTTGGTCTTCAGTATCAGTATCCACATATCTGCAAAAACCATGCTAAACTCCGTCGATTTATGAAAAATATGGGAAATACCGAAACCCTTCACGCTTTATAAGGTATGGCTAAATAAGCATCCTCTGACTACAGGTTAGAGAAAAGAATTGGAGGGCGATAAACCTATACACTCTGAAACAAAATCATAATTTCTTTCCACTGTATCACGTGCCACCATCTTGCCTAGCGAATGATTCATAAGTTACCATGACCGACTAACTTCGTTGTGCAAATGTACATCACGTCACCAGCAAAGAATGTTCATTGTGTGATGGTATAGCCTAACTTATAATCGTTACGAAATACGATGAAAGCGAACTGTCACTCTGCCAACTTTACAATAACAAGCTCAA